AAGTAATTGGCAAAAAGCCAAGGCCGAGAGTGGCCCAGAGACCTGTCCTGTCAGGAAATGACACACAGGCCAGGAGGCAGGGTCCCTGCGGCTCAGCTCTGCCCCTTCGCAGCGCGACGCCTCCAGCCACGCGGCTTCCCCTTCGCGTTTACCGAGCAGCTAAACGGTTGGCGGCGTGTGACGTTCCGGACAAAGACGCAGCCTGAACGTGCGGCCCTCGCGGCTCTTCTGCGTCGACGAACCTGGCACCCTAAACTAGGGTAACTAATCAATGACTCAATGACACAGCAAACGCCAGTCAGCCCCGGGGCGCCTCCCGGGGCCGCCGAGTCCCTGCCACGCGCGTCCGAGACTGGCGGCGCCCTCGAAGGCGGCTGGCCTCGCCGTGTTGTCTCCAGACCGGCGCTTCCCCGGGCGCTTGTTAGAAACACAAGCTCCAGGGCCCCGCTCCGCCCCTGCTGCATCCCCCGCTCCGCCCCTGCTGCGTCAGGCGCCCGGGTGGGACAGAGCTTCTGTGTTCAAGGGGCCCGCCGGGCGCTCCGGTGGCGCTGAGGACTGAGAGCCGCTGCCAGAGCGAAGCAGGGAAAGGGGGCACGGTTCCTGAGCGGCACGCGCTGAAGCAGCTGAGGCTGAACGTGGGCCTGGCATGAGAAGGCCGCAAAGAGAAAGGTCTGCCAGCCACAGGGACGAGTTCAGCAGCCAACCGGCGGCTGGAAGCAGAGGGCTACCGCGTCCTTCCCCGTGGAGGCAGAAGGTTACAAAAATGGAAAAGGGAAGCTCAGTAAAATTATCAGAGGTTCGCAAATAATGAGTTCCCCGAGGGGACAGTCCCGGGAAAAAGGCCCAAGGTTTCGTTTTCCCACTGGGTGCGCTGACACGCCGTTCCCTACCTGCCCACCACACGAATGAAATCAGTTGCTTCTTTTTCCATTGTTTGACAGTAAAAATAAAAATACATTGATCTGAAGGTCTGCATGAAATGTGGAAGGAACTAGTAAATGCTCTAGGCCCAACCGGCAAAGCCTAAGTATCTTCATTAGATTCTCCACTGAGAAAAATCTTGTAACGTAGCAACAATCACAAACATTTAACCCACATATAAGGGCAAGAAGAGAAAATGTCAGAATGATGGGAAGACAACTGACTTTCTTTGCTTCGATGTCCTCTGTGTCATTTGTACACTGATCCCAGCCCATTTCTTAAGTCCCCAGCGTCTTATCTCCTCCTACGGAAATTCCGTGAATCCCAGAGTGAGCATTTCCGATTGGGCCCCTCGACCCTCTTCTCGCAGCACCTGTGCCAGGTAAGGGCGCTGCCTCTTCCCTCTTCTTCCTCTTTCTTCAGGCCCTTTTCCTTCCGTGCCTGCCGCCGGTGGCCTTTGGTATTTACCAGATCCCACTGGTTTACATTCACAGCTACCTGAGGACGTATTTCGCTCTCCCCTTTCCCGTTGCGATCGCCTTTACCCCACGCCCGTGACCTTGCCCTGTCTGCCCGTAACTGGGCCCGAAGACCCCGGAGAACGCGGGCAACGGCGCCCCCCGGAGCCCAGCACGCCCCTGGCCCCGCAGCGGCCTCAGAGGTCCCCGGGCGAATGGACCGGGTGAGAACACAAACCAACTGAAACCTCAGGGCCCGCGGCATCAGGCCAACCTCAAACACTGAATCTTTTTTCAGAGAAAGAAATGAATATCTGACAGTTTTGTAAAAGAAGAATATATAGCCTAATCCACATTTGTCACATTTTAAGTTCTAAGGGTCTAACAATCACACTGGCATGTTTTTTCCTGTGAGATCCTCTTCCTTGACTCATTTTAAGACAACGTACGTGCATTTTGTCCACTTGGATGTTACCGTCCTCAGGTTTTGACGCTTGGCTGAATGACCTCGCCCACATTAATGGCGACGTGTCCGGAGTTCTGGGGGGCACCCACGAGACTGAGAACCAGCCGATTACAGTAACAGGCAACATGGCTTTCAGTGAGCAACACGAGAAAAGAATTCCTGCCTGGAATGCATTTGCCACCTACCACACAGCGATTCGTGGAAGCCTGTTCCCGAAGACACTGGCCACGCTGCGGAGCCACACTGCCGAAGCCAGCCTCACGCCTGGGCCGTGCTGTCCTGGGGCTCGTCCCCTCCAATCCAAGGACACCTTCTGTGTCCTGCGCACCGCCTACCTGTCACGCGGTGACCGCCGCACTCTCACTGCGCCACGCACCAGGTCGCAGAGGTGGGGAGACTGGAGCTGCCCTTTCAAAATTATAACATGCAAACAAAAAGAGACAGTTTCTGGGCCTTGCCAGCGCCGTCACGGGAGAGGGACTGGATTCTAAAACGTCCCAGCAGAGAAGGAACGTCTCTGCCAGACAACTGACACCAGAGGAGTCTCCCCAAGGCTCACGCCTGGGATATTTCAGACCCTTGGCAGCTCTCAGACTGTTACCGCCTTTTATTAATGCACGCAGTTTAGATCCAGTGCCTCGAAGGAGCCAGGACTCACTTGTGAGCCGAGAGCAGAGCGCGAAAGTTTACCCTCTCCCAACAAACAGCCATCAGAACAGATACCTTCTCCAGACGCCGGGTCGCCCTGCCAGCGCGAATGGCCGCGGCGAAAGGCACGTGGAGACGCGGGGCCAGAGCGCGCCCGAGAGCAGGGCTGGGGGCTCATTTTGCAATGAAGGAGAGGAACGCACGCAATCGCAACGTCGTTCGGTAGACCTACGGCACTCGGAAACGACCGCGACTCGAGGCACAGCGCCTGTCTTACGGTCGCCTCTAGAGACAGAAAACAAGAGGGTGGACGTTGGTGTTAGAAAATGCAGCTACTTCAGGGCTACAACTGTGGACGGTGACTGAGCGGGGAGCACCTGAATTTCCCCGGTTCAAAACAGACTCCTGGTCGCGCCTAAGTGTCCTGCACCCCATCAGTGGTGGACAACCGGGGTACGACGCTACACATGCCATTAGTGCAACCATCGCCTGTCTACGCCCCCGTCCTGGCTGTCCAGCTTTGAAAAGGCGAGTCAGACAAGGACATTTCTCAATCAGTCAAGTGTAGCCATCCACTAGGAAGGTCTCACACAAACACCTGGAGAGGAATCAAATAACAAAAAGCCAGCCAAGCAGCAGACGGAGAAGCGCTGCCGCTGCATGGTGCTGTTTTATCTCAGTTTGGGGTCAGGGGAGGGGCAGAGGTGGATGGAGGGGGGACACAGGGACGGACCGGTGAACACAGGCTTCTGAGACGCAGTGGCAGTTTTGCAAAAGACACCCAGCCCCAGGCTTCGCCCCCAAACGACAGCGAGGGCTCTGACGGAGGAGCTGCAGCGCGGAACAGACCACGACCGCGACGGGCAGGCCTCGCTGGGCGAACGGCGCCCATCGACGAAGCGCCGAAACTCGGCCGCATGCCCAGAAACACGTGCTTTGTGGATCTCCCCCCCGAAAAGAGGTATAATTTTGACTGATTTACAAAAAATAATAATAACGGGAATTGCCAACCCCTGTGGCTCCTGAGTGACTTTTTTAAAAGTCCAACGTGTATCGAAGGATTTCTGGTACCAAGAATTCACCCTTGAGAGGTGGCCTGATTGCACGGCACGACCGATAAGATGCAGGTCTGTTATGTGACCCACAGACTTACGGTTCAAGACAGGGCACCCCCACCAGGCGGCTCCCGTCGTCTCGGCTGCTGTCGGTTTTTATGGGACCCTCACAGGGAGAGGAGGTCAGCGCCCCTGACTAAGGAGCCAGGGGCCGCGTGTTTTCAAAGTCCTGGCAGCCCAGCCCGCTGGCGGAAAATGCTGCTTTAAAAGAATGTAATGCTCCCGAGAGCATATCATGGACAGGAATAGAGATTTGCTCATTATCCAAGAGGACAGAAATTGTTGGAGCTGTAATAACCCTCCCATGTAATAAGATTTTACTTTACAAGACAGATTGTGAGCCGCTGCAGCACATTCTGTGTCTTCGCAATTAGTCAAATAGACTTGACGCAGGGAAGCGAGAGATTCAGTGGGGAAGGAAAAAAAGATCAGACAGGCAACTTAGACACAGAGCAGTGACGGGGACAGGACCTAGAAAACCAAACACAGATTCCCTATTCATTTCTGCCTACGATTTCTCTACTTCCTGAGCGGTAAAAACAGGGGGATAGAGAAGGAAAAAAACAACCACATTCCGTGACATTTTCATTTATTTTGTACCGAAGATAAGACGCAGCTTACAGTTCTGCCGTTAATAAATTGGATGTTCAGCGTACAGTCGGAGTTCAGCTATTTTCTCGTAATCTTTTTTAATAATGTGAGTCTCAATTTAAGAGGCTCCCGCGGAGTCGGCGAAGGAACAGTATGGAAGGCTGGACGGCACAACTCACTTCTGCCGGCCGGTGCGGACTCTCAGGCGGGCAAGTGGTTGGAGGAGGAAAACACCGAACGGGCTCAGCCCCCTCCCGCCCGCTGTCAGAAGAAGGAAGGCCACCGGGGAGCAGCCTCGCAGACACTGGGGTCCCAGGCAGCCGGCCGCGCCGAGACCCGCCCCCCTCCCGCCGCCGCCCCGAAGCGCTTCGGATGCGAAGGGAACCGCCATGGGTTACTCTGGTTTGGGTCCCACTAAAGGTCCCATCTGCCAGGTGAGAGGCGCCAACAGGGGCAGCGGTGCGTGTGGCGGACGGGAACTGCACTTAACAGTTTTCCGTCACAATCGTTCCGATTTCAATGCTTCTATTAACACGCGCAGGGTGTCCGACCCGCAGCCCGCAGGCCGCGTGCCGCCGGGATGGCTGCGAACGCGGCCCAACACAGAATCGCAGGTTTACTTAACACGCGTTAAGATTTTTTGGCGATGACGTGTCGCGATGTATTGAATGTGTGGCCCAAGACAACTTGCCTTCTTCCAGGGCGGCCACAAGGGTGGACACCCCTGGTTAGCGGGGTGTGAAGATCTATAGAAACCTTCTGCATGCAAAATAAGTGAAAACCAGTATTTTTTGCACATACCTGCTTTTCTCCACTGGGCTTTTTGTGGTTCAGCAGCAGCTCAACAGCTCCAATGACCTCCTTCCTGATCGCGTGGAGCAAGGCGTCCCCCACGTAGACATTGAAGCTCAAGAGTAGCTCGATGAGCTCCAAGTTCTCATTTTCTATTGCAATCAGGAGAGCAGTCCTTCCGAGGGGATCGATGCAGTTAATATTGATTTTGAAATAAATTTCAGCTTCCTCCAGGGACTTCTTGACACTTGCATAGTCTCCCTTCTCCACGGCATTCAGGTAGGCCTTCTCGGACGGCGAGAGCTCCGATTCCGCCCGGACTATGCGCAGAGGGATGCGGTCTCTGTGGGGCGCGTTGGCGTTTCTTTTGTAATAGAACTGAGCCATGCTTCATGCCATGCTAGTTTGTTGTCTCTGAAAGTGCAAACAAACAAACAAGAAAACCCACAAGGGTTAGTGTCAGTACACTTCTTAATTACTCTGCATCCTACGACTCACAATTACGAAGTAACGCTAGTGACGTTTTTTCCCCTTCAACAATGGAAGTGGAGTTAATAATTATTCGCGTACCTGCCAACACAAGGTACAAAGTCCCACTCTAGGAGGAATAAAAAGAGGTTGGTATCTGCAAGTCGTTTTAAAGAGTTCCTTTGCGTGCCACCTCAGTCCAATGCTAAGTTCAGCCCCCACGCAGTTAAATTTTACCCTTGAACATCCAGATTATTTACCAGGATTTCTCACATTCCAAGACTCAGGAACGAATATTTAAAACTGTTCATTAAGTTCATCTGGTCTAATATGTCATTTAAGGCCACTGTTTTCCTGTTGATTTTCTGTCTGGAACACCTGTCCATTGATATAAATGGCGCCGGAAAGTCCCCTACAATGGCTGTGTTACTGTCTGTCTCTCCCTTTGTGTTCAACAATATTTACTTTGTGTATTTAGGTGCACCGGGGCGTTGTGCATAAATGCTGTTAGATTGATACCTTTACCATTATTCATTCTGGATACTGATGCTGTGACTTTGCAATTTGTTGTTTTAAAGCCTGTTTTGTCTGAAAGAAGTACTAGACTTCAGCTTTTTTTTTTTTTTTGCTCTTATATAAAATATCTATTCCTATCCCTTTACTTTCAGTGTGTGTGTGCGTGTGCGTGTGCGTGTGTGTGTGTGTGTGTGTGTGTGTGAATCTGCGGGGGGTCTCTTGTAGACAGCGCATATATGGGCCTTGTTTCCTTATCCATTCAGTTAGTCTACGCATTTTGATCGGCGCACTTCATTCATTCACAGTTAAAGTGATTATTGATGGGTATGTAGTTATTGCTATTTTTTATGCATCCTCATATTTCTTTTTTTCTTCTTAAAGAAGTCACTTTAACATTTCTTATACCAGTAGTTTGGTGACAATGAACTCCTTTAGCTTTTTCTTGTCTGGGAAGCTCGTACTCTCCTGCAATTTTAAAGGACAGCCTTGCTGGGTAGAGAAATCTAGGTTGCAGGTCTTTGTTTGCCATCACTTTGGACATTTGTGTCAGTCCCTTCTGCCCTGAAAAGTTTCTGCTGAGATACCAGGTGTTAGTCATCTAGAAGCTCCCTTGTAACTCACTGCATTTCTCTTGCTACTCTTAAGATTCTCTGTCTTTAACCTTTGTCATTTTAATTACGCTGTGTCTTGGAGTGGGACTCTTTGGGGTCATGCTGTTTGGGACTCTGTGTTTCCTGGACTTACGTGTCTAGTTCCTTCACCAAACTGGGGAAGTTCTCAGTTACTATTTTTTCTAGTAGGTCTGTGCACAATCTCTTGCTCTCTCTCTTCTCCCTCTGGCACCCCTACGACGCAGATATTGTCCTGCTTGATGCCCCCGGTGTCACTTAAACTATTCTCATTTTTTAAAATTCCTTGTTCTCTTTGCTGCCCTGAGTGGGTGCTTTCTGCTACGCTACCTTGTGTTCCAAACCGCTGACTCGATCCTTGGCTGCTTCTGTCATTTTCCCTAGTGTGTTCTTCACTTCCGATATTTTACTCTTCGTTCCTGACTGTTCCTTTTTCATGGCCTCGACGTCCTCTTTTACACCGGCTACCTCTTTGCTGGAGTTCGCCCTGAGTTCCTTGGGCGTCCTTTAACCTACGATAGCGGCGTTTGACACCCTGTGGTCTTTCTGTGTTAACTTCAATTTTAGTGCCACTCCAAAGGTGGCCTCTAGATATTACTTCACAGGACAGGAAATTATCGAGTGTAATTAAAGACAAAAGAAACCATAAAGTGAAATCTCAGGGGTTTGTTGTCCTCATACCGCATGGACGGACTGGCCCTTCACCGAACTTTCACTGATACCAAGGAGGCTGAGCTGCACGGCTGCTCCTAAATGCCCATTCCGGACACAAACGGCAAACAGTCCCTCGACAACAGCAATAACATCCACGTCCCTGGAAATTTCTCGCCCTGGTCTCTGTTAATCGCTCTAGTTGAGGCACCCAAACGGAGAAAGCTTCGGTGTTTGGGGCATAACGAGATTTGTTCGGGGGGGCGGCCCTCACAGCCCAAGGCGAGGCCAGCCAGAGGCGCCCAGTCATTGTGCCCTCCCCACCCTTTCCCCGGCCGCGGAGTCTGCGCCCGGGCCAGGGCCGAGTCCACGCCTACGTCCCTCGGCCTGGGCCCGGCCCCCCGCTCGCCACTTCTGTCCACGGCCGGAGGCCGAGCCTCCGCGCCCCTCCTGCGCCAGCAGAGCTGGCGTTTGAAGTCTCTGTTCCCAAGGGGCTGTCTAATCCAAACTCCAACCTAGGAATGTCCGTGAAGAAAACAAAAGAAAATTGCGTCAGTCAGTTTACGGGAAAAGTATGTCCAAGGCACCTGATACGGTCCCGCGTTCTAGTACGATCGGTACGTGCGCCAACGTGCTCACATGTTTTTTCTCCATGAGTTGATTAAGAACCCGAACTAACCACACCCCACCCCGGTCCCTCCCCTCCCTCTCCCTCTCCGTACGCAGAGCCCGTCCACGCGCCGCAACAGCTTCTCCCTTCTGATCGCCGCCCAAGCCATCCCTCCTCTGCGCCTGCCCGGGGCGCGGCGGACCCTCACGAGCACGTTCCGTCTGAGCATGTGGACTGGGAACTGACCAAAAGCCAACAGGCCCCCAGAAATGGGAGCGTTTAAGTATCACACTCCCTTTTCAGGCCGTCAGCAAAATCATCATCATCCTCATCCTGTTAGCGGTAATGTTGCTTTAAGTTGTTCACAATTAAGAACCCCATCTAATTATACCCAAGTCATAAGCATAATCGTTCTAGTGTCTTTTTTAAGAAAAACAAACCGGCCATGTAAAATGTGAAACATTACGAGCTGCTGCAGACCAAGATACCGGGGTTCCCCGGTCTCCCTCGCCTCATGTTGCTGTGGGGAACGCCCTGTCCCAGACCCCCGATAAAACGTTCACTATCGGGGGGGTGCATCGATTCCTGCAAGCCGGACAGAGGACCACGGCAGCGCCGTGTCCAAAGGAAAACGGACTGTACAAACCCCTCCGCCCTTCTCTGCTGCGTCACGGACAGTATCGCTCTCATTTATATCAACCCTGTTTCTGAAGAAATGACCCACTGTTTTAATGTAGGGGAAAAAACTCTTAGCTTACGGCTGAAAAAGCCTTCTAAAGAGCATATTTGGAGATCTTCAATTAATGTCATAAATCTCCTTTTGTAAGTTGACTTGAAAATGTAGTTTTTACTTACGTTCAAAAGAAGACACCCACTTTTGTTCGTAGGAAGAGTCACAACTTCCCTCACTAGGGGCCCGTTTTGCTCTCACGGGTGCTGAAGGGGCTTGTCCCTCGCTTATCCGCCCCCTTTCTTCTTTCACTGCCTCGGGGGCTGAACCTACCTCCTGGGCCTGGGCCCTGACCCGGGGTCAGACTCACGGCCTTTTTGGTGTCCGGGGCGACGCTCCAACCGGCTGAGTCACACCAGCCAGGGCGCTGTACCAATTTCTTTAAAAAGACACTGAACTGCAAAGTCACAGTGTCAGAGTTAAACTTGTGCCTAAGATATCTTTTTCCTCAGTGATCGTGGATCACACAGTCTCGACAAATACTGTCTTGCACTTAGTAATTATGCAAATACCTGTCAGTCAAATGCAGTCACTCGGATAATGGATTCCGTCCTTTTTTTCCCGTTAGTGAAATTTTAGAATTCTTTATGTATTTGAAAAAAAGGAGCGAAAGGATTCAGTGGGACTCTCTTTGCCTTTTGTTTGCTCTGACACAATCAGTATATGGATCTAGGGAAGTTAATGCCCACTTCTCCGTGCCTCACTTTAAGTATGTCTTCGTTCTTACAGAGAGAGAAGCTTCGACGGGAAGCTAACACTATACGTGCCAAGATTCACATTCTAGACTCGCACGTCCTGGCTGCAAGGCCTCCCCGACGACCCCAATGATCCCAAACGCCCTCCGTTCACAGAACAACACACGGGGGCTTACATGCACAGCAAACCCCACCTACGGGGACACAGCTGCAGAGCCGAGAGGCAAACCCTGGGAGACCAGCACCCCCCTCCGACCGGCTGCCTGTTAAACCCTAACAGAGCCCATAGCTAGTGAGAGCTTTGAACAAGGGAACAGGCAGGAAGGTTTAATGCGCTGAGCACAGGACGCGTGCTCGGGGAATATTAACCAGCAGTCGTATTGCTATGCTGTTACTGCCGCTGGGGCAGAACCGAGGAGGCCGGGGGTTCCGCTGGGTGCCCAGCGCTCTGCACCGCCCCCTCCCCCCTCCCGCCCCCCACCTCTGCCCTGTATCAGGACCGCGGCAGAAGCCGAAGGTCCGAACCTCCCCAACTGCATCGTGATCTCATCTGTTTCTCTCTCTCCTTGAAGTTTAAATACTACGGTTAGGGTCCGGGGCACCCCCGGCCTGTTTTACAGCTCAGGCCTGTCCAAGGCTCCCCGGCGTCTCCATCCACTCGAGACAGACAGCCAGCGGGATCGCAGTCGGAAAGTTACCACCGCGCGGCTTGGGAAGAACCCGCGAACTAGAACGCCGTTTTCACAGCGTCTCGGTAATAAATGATCAGCTGTGATCCTCTTGCTTCGAGGGGGATGATTATGTTTCCGACACCGTGACATATTATGCCATATATCTTACCAGCGGCACTATTCATTAGGGATGAGCACGAGGATTAGGGACATTAAGGGATTTATTCAACTGTGAAGATCAAAACTCAAACTGGAGCCGACCGAACACCGAACCGGAGGCTTTTTACCGCCGCCTCCCACGGGACCGCAGAGGTTCCACGCAATTCAAGTGGCAGGTGCCAGGCAAGGGTGCCGTCCTGCCGGCGTCGCTCGCAAACGCAGCAGACCGGAATGTTCCTGCCGCCAGAATCGTCCATC